ACTGAAAACAGACTGCTCAAGGCTGACCAGCCGGTTTTGGAGAGGTGTACAGCACTGGCGTTTGAGGAGGAAATCGACAGGCACCCCTTCTAGTGTCCATACTGAAGTGCTGAGCCGGTCGCGGGGTCGCGGGACAGCCCCTGGGCGTCTAGGGCTCAGCTGCGTCAGAAGTACATCTGCACCACGTCTGTACTTTCTGGTGCGTGCGGAATGGCCAACCCCACACACTGCTGACAGTCCCAGGCTAGTCATATTTTGGCCGCGAGGAGCCCAGGGCCAGAAGGGTTAATACCCGCACGGTCGTTCTCCGCGCATTTTTATCTGGAAAATCAGGTATACTTTGAGGGGTATATCTCATCGCCATCTCAACATTTTTCCAAATTTCTTTCTTTATGTTGTAGGCTATGATATAAGCTATCATCCGATGCCTCAACCTTTTCATAACTCATCGTGACACCAGAGAACGAGCTGGCGAGGTGGGGGGTGCCTTAGGCCCTTAATACCCTCCCTTACTCTAGGTTTGACCTCGTCATGCCTGGGTGTCTCTTACACAAATGAAGTCAACCCTTTTTCAATAGGTGAGCATGCGAACTGCATGACAATCAATCAAGGTGTAGTTGTGTCGTGCCAGCCTGATGTAGATGCACCCGGGCGGCTTCACGCACACGCGTGCCCGTGGGCGCTGACCACCACAATAGTAACCCTCCACCAACAGTTTGAATTTTGACCTCGTAATTCTTATTTGACTCTGTACCAAATGGAGTAATTCCTTTTGCAATAGGTTATTATGTGAGCTCAGTAGGTTAATCAAGGGTTGTGTGCATTATGCCAACCTGGTGTAAGCTAACCCACCGCCGTCACACGCGTCCCTACGTGTGCTGCCACCCCGAGCGGGATCCCAACAACACATTTGAGTTTTGACCTCGTCATGCTTACGTGTCTCTGATCCAAATGAAGCCATTCCTTTTGCAATAGACGCATACATAAGCTGAGTACGGGACACAACCCTAACCCTCGATCTTCATGCCAGAGATATGAAGAGTCTGATATGCCACCCCACTGGGTACGTGATGTCGGGGGCTCTCTTCTGGTGGTGCACTCTGAGCCTGCTCCGGATATCAACTGCTAAGCTGCATTGTCGAACCAAAAAGTCGCCCCGACTCGTAGTGTATGAGTAACTCAGCGTACCTTTGTCGGAGATTGGACGTCTGAGTTCCTGCCTCGCTCTCTGTCGACGTTGATGTGCGGTGAGCATTGCGCGGATCTCGGATCTCGTTGCGTGCTTGGCGGGGTTTCCAGGGGGGGGGAAAGGTTCCCGTTGGAGGCCTTGTTTTGCATATATTTTCCATTTTTTTTATCCACGCGAAGCACTAGTTGTCATACAGTTAGTTATTAGTTATTAGTTAGTTATTAGTTATTTAGACTAGTTATATTAGTTATAGTTATATTAGTATATATTAGTTATAGTTATTAGTTAGTTAGTTAGTTAGTTAGTTTATTAGTTTATAGTTTATTAGTTTAGTTACTCTAGAGCGTACTGTTGTCTGAAGTGCTATTTGTGCAACAATAACAACATGGTGCATGGTACACAAGCTCGGGGCATGCAGCTGCTGTCTGAAGTGCTGTCAGAATGAGTCCGTGGACATACAATGAAGAAGAACACCCAACCAAAGCCATTATTGCTTTTGACAATCATCCGACAGATCATCTGTGGTTGGCTCATCAGTGTAAAAGTCCGGAGACAGAGAGAATACAAGATAGATACGTAATGTTCCGATTTCTGATGTCGTTTGCCTCCAAGTGCATCACCTCTGCAGTTGGGACCGCCCCGCCAGTTTCTATCGTGTGTGATATGGCCCCCACAACTGCCACAGCTCCTGCTCTGTTTCGATTCCTCCGTTATTGACTCGTGCGCCGCCACGGCTCTAAAATACACCTCGAAATGAGTACTCTTCCGATAATGGGAATATGTGAGATCTGATCTGGCAGTTGGTGGGGGCCATTGTGGCATCTCTGGCTCTCTACATCTATCTCTCTTCGATGTTTTTTTTTTTTATGTCTTACTGACCCTGCGTGGTCTCGATCAACAACAACAACCCACACCCTCTTCCATCGGCCGACTACCAACTTCTCCCCGCCTGCACATCTGCACGCCTAGACCTGCACTGGAACAAGGTGAGGAAGCATGAGCACTATGGGGTACTTCGTGTGCGCGTGCGTGGATCCGTCTCCCTCGTTTGCTGGTGTTGAATTACGTACCAGCGGGTATCTCGCATGACGGGTGGGTCCGATTCTAAGTCAAAGTGAACCTTGTCTGCAAACGAACGCTTTGCACACGAAACAAGCTGGACGGATTAAGGCGCGCGCAGCGAAGGTGGTGTTGTGATTGCGCAAGCCAAGATGAGCGAAGCACAAGTGGTGCTGTGATTGCGTGATCGCCCTTGGTTGGGGCTGCCAAAAGGAAGGCTTGCTTGCACCTCCCGCCGCGCAACCAAGAGCTGTCCATGGTTTGTCATCGTGGATAACCCCTGGACTTACTTTGAAATGTGGAGTCCGCAGCGAACGACCCCGCTTGAACCCGAGCCTTCAGGCAGCACGCGCAGAAGCGTTGTTCGAGGGGGGCAAGGGCGCTGTGGGCCAACGCGCTACGGCATCGTGCACACTCCAGAGCAGCAGCAGTGTCGATTAGCTGGGCTAATTTACACTTGAACATATTCCAGATCGTTTTCAATTGTCTGTTGGTGCGTCCCACACACATGACAGATGAATCCGTCCGTGGATCTTCGGAGTGAGAGAACCCATCCGATTCGAAAATGAATCACAGAGCCCTTCTCGATCTCTCTCCTCTCAACCAACCCCCTCTTGCCCACGCAGCGTTTCGCTCAACCGTGTACCGGTCAGGGGCGACGTTGGTCGCAAAACTTACGGAAGTTTTGATCAGTTCTTTCTCCCACCTTTGCCGCGTCCTGACAGTTGTATGTACCTATGTATGCGGAGTTTTCACGGACGGATGAGAAGTTTGTCAATCAATCCCCCTGTGCTATCCACCCACGCCCGCTGCTGCTGCAGGTGCCAATATGTGCGTACCGCGTACGGCAGAAGCTATTGTAGACCTTTGACCCGTTGCCTACGAATAAGTTAAGAGGGACATAATCGAAGCTGCTTTGTTGCCATAGAATCATGGGGGAGGTCATCACGCAACCCTACCCGCGGGGGCTTCGTGCGCCACAAAATAGCGGTTATTCTTTGCATGCCACGTGCGCCGGGCGGTTTTCTCTCGAACGGGTGCTGCTGTTGACGATATATACCCCGAGAAAGAACTACAAATACAAATGCAGGTGTACGATTTATTCTAGAAATGCAATATGCACCAGGTGTCCGGTGCCCATCAGCTGGTGCCCATCATTGTTGTTTATTGTTGACCCCCCATATGCTCATGTATTGTACTTCAAGCTACGCATACTTGATTTAGCTTCCTGTAGCAACAGCAGCAACTGGGCCTTGTAGTAATCTGGGCGCCAGGCTACACCTCTCCGTACCAGGGTTCCACGCACTCTGTAGCAACAGCAGCAACTGGGTCGTGTAGTAATGTGGGGGCCAGGCCACACTTGTCCATTCCAGGGTTCCACGCACTCGACTCTTTCCCAGACCAGATCATGAAACCCTTCTCTTGGCGTTGTCGTTGTACGAAAATTCAAAATATACCGTTCTATTAATGTATATATGTAGGCAAGCTAGGAACCATCCGGGCGATGTCTGTTGCCAAGCGTTTTGCCCAATTCATCGCTGTAGATATAGCTTCACACAAGCCAGTTCAGAGCTTTCCGTTGCGTGTTTCAGTTCTGTTTCGATTCACACCTAAAAAACTACTACTGCTGCTGTGCGTGGGTACTGCAGAGAGAGGTAAGATGAAGCTGTTTTATCGCGGCGCAAAAAGGTTGTGTAGTCAAATATCCAAATTACGAGGGTACTTCTACCATGTTTTTCTCTTGCAAGCGGTGTGTTGAGCTTCTGAAATGAAAAAATTCCCGCGGCGTACGATGTCCGGAGATTTTACGTTGTGACCCGGAAATATTGTCATCGCCGCTCGCTCTCGATCAGACCTCTGACTTACAATCCCGTCTGAGATGAGCTCCCGAATGTCACCGCTGCATATTCAAATTCTCGTCGAATGCATGCAGCATGTGATTAATTTCTCGCTCGCAGCGGTACGTGTGTGTTGGACGTGTGCCCCAAGGCGCTTTCTATCTCACACGCCCAGCAGTGCAGTGATGACTCGCGTTCGTTTGCCCTTTTTTTGGCGTCTGACTTTCCTGCCCGTCCCCGCCGCGCGACCCCTTCTCTGTTTGCGAATGTTTTCCACCCCCGGCCCCGTTGCGGTCGTTCGCAGCTACAACAGCTCCAGCCTCGTTCGTAATCATCATCTCCTGCAGAATGGCGTTCCGTATGTGTTCGGTGCTGTTGGCTCTCGTCATGGCGGTCGCCGCCTCCGCCGAAACCCTCGTGAGTGATGCCGTAAAAAAAACACTCCTGGTTTATGAAAACCCGTCGTTCGCGTTTTTCGCTTTCGAAGGAAGTATACAAACCGGTCGCCCCGGTGGTCTAGTGGTATCCTCGTAATCCGTTAGTCGCAGAGGTCGTGAGTTCGAATCCCCATGGGGTGAAAATTTTACATGTGCGGGGTGAAAGCGAAATATAGCTGGCAAGCTCTCGTGAGTACCAAACTTCGACGTCAGCACTTTGGACGAGGGAAAGGGACGGCTGGACCCTTCTCGCGATAAAAATAAAATTCAGCACGCACCGCACGAGGAAGGTGGGGCATGATGAGAAATCAAAAGAAGAAAAAAGCCCCGGTGTTTACCCCCCCTCCTGTGTGACCCTGGATGGTTGTAGTTACACGAAAAGATACACTGAAAAGTGTAGTACTCTACATACGCTGAAAAGTGTAGTACATGTCTCACCACGAAAAATGGGGGAACTGTCGCCGTAATAAACAGGACGAAAACACACACAATGTTGCGACGTCTACGTGATTTTGCTGAATCTCGTCCACCACTGCTGCCTTGTGTTTCGGCTTCCGTTTTTTGCTAAAACGGTGGTTTCGTTCAGATCCCAAGTGTTTCCTCGCCCGGGAAGATGACCCGAGAACTGAAGGCTCGGGTTGATGGCGTTTTTTTCTCTCCTCGTGACGTGTTACATATATTGTACGAATACGATGGCGACGCTCGCGCGTGGTTGCGAGTACTCTTTCCTTCTCGGTCAAAAGCTGCTGTCTTTCCCCCGCGCTTTTACGGGGACTGGCGCCTGCTCAGCTATGTTGATGCATGTCTGTTTTGTTGCCCTTGTACTGGTCAACCCGTCACCCTTGGTCGGCAAAGTAGGAAGAAACGAATTGGCCATCGTTCCATTGCTCCGTCGTCTCGAGGACGACGTCTGGCATGCAAAACGTGAGTACCCCCCCCCCTATCGAGGATGCGTGGTCAATGGTCTAACCGCTCAGGCATGCAAAAACATAAGAGTACGCCCCCCCTCCCTATCCTGCGCGTGCCGTCACATGTACTGCGCACCTTTTTTCGGTGCGTTGCGTCTCTTCAGATCCCGTTGTGCGTGGTCAGCGCCGACTCGTCGTTCGAGACCCTCCACGCGACGGCGGCCGAGACAGAGAACTACCCGGACGCTCTGGAGGGCGCCTGCAACGAGTTCCTCGGCCAGCTGTGCGACGACAGCCTCAAGTGCACCGTGGACTTCGACTACGACGAGGAAAAGTGCCTGCCCGAGCCCAGGGAGGTGATGGAATCCTGCGTCGAGACGACTGAATGAGGAGGCTTGCCAGGGAAAAGGAGGTGGTGATGAATAGCCGCCTGGCGAGGCGGCTTGGCGGGCCCCGAAGGACGGGCGGAGGGGGCGCGAATGGAGCCATGTTCGGCAGGGAGGGCGCGACCCGCCCCGAGCTTGGCGACGGGTCAGCGCAGCACGCTCGACAACCGGAAGTGTTCCGCCCTGTTGTCGGGGCTCCGCTGGTATAGAAAGATGGTGTAACCCGCGGGGCGTGGGTCGCTTCGATCGGAGCAGCAGCGTATGTTGTGTGACAATAGCTGTCTTCTTACAAAAGCTTTGTGTCGAGAGTTAATGCACAGAGGACGACGGGGCCTGCTTTGTTTTTGTACGATACTCACCCCGCTTTCTAACCTACGGGCAGGGTGACCGGGCCTCGTTTTCTATCGCCGTGGGAGAGTACTCCTTACCTGCCGATGCCCCCCATCGACGTCATGACGTCAATCGATCTTACAGGGCTGGCTTCCTTGTGAAGCACGCGTGTGTCCGTTGTGTGTAACGATCTCTTCGTTTTGAGGGAAGGGGGAAGGATGGGATGTGTTCGCTTTTTGGCAACCTCTGGGAAATGCTGTTTTTTTCTCGCGCAACTATTCCCTCGTCAGTATCTAGCTGTCCGGAAACTTGATGTGTGCCTGCCTTCAGTTGAAGTACGCGTCTTGACCTTGGGCTTTGTTGTCCCGAGATATGTGGCCCGTGCTCCTAGTCGTGGGTGCCCCCCCCCCCCCCCCCCNCCGCTCGTGTGGATTTTGTCATGTGTGCGGGTGTGTACATGTAGGGAACAAGTAGAGGCGTCTTCTTTCTTTATTTGTACTACTCATTGCTACTGAAGACTTGTTTTTTTTCGTCGACCTCTCCCTTGCTCCTGTACGCTTAGTAAGATCGCATGACCCGAATGGTTTTTAGCTTAACTAGTTTGTCCACGAGTCATAAATTGTTACCCTGAATATTCTCAATTATCAAGACGTTGGGAAGAGTTTCAGCAAACGCCTTGTGATCTTGTGCTCCGCGGCGGATTTGGGCTCCACATGCAACGTCACGGCCCCTTCAATCAACATAAATGAGGTATTGGGTTGGCCAGTGGGAAAAATCAGCGACAGGCTGCTGCTGCAGTCGGTTCCTATATAGTCAACCTCGGCAAACACGCCAGCGAGACACAAAACGGAGCGGTAGGTACACTCGTGTAGCACCGCCGTCCGGACAATCGGAAGAAAAGCACCCCCCGCTGATCTGTCCACAGTTGTTAAGCGCCGCGCCGCCAGCACGCCTCCTTTTTTTTCAGCGGAAACGACTTCTCGGGTTGGCTGCTGTACCGGCGTTGCCTCGGGCGTGACCCGTACCGCTTGCTGGCGGAACAACATGGCACGAGCGCTGGCGGCGAGTAGAACCACCTTTTTTCCAACAATCTTCTGTGCGTGTGTGCGGGTGCACCATTTTCGCCACGCATTGCCAGAAGTATCGAGTTCGATAGACAGTGCATCGTTTCTTGGCCCACCCACCGTGTTTCTTTTTCCGTACTCCGGAAGAAAATTAGGTGAGCAGCGGGTTTTGAACCCGCGTCTTTTGCAACCAAAAGCAACCACTGGACATCTCTTCGTCGACGCCATTGTGGCAAGAAGGGTTTCGTCCTCGACAGACGTTGGGGAGTTTCAACCTTCATGAAGGTGTTCTCCACACAATAACGTTGTTTTGCAGACTGAAAAAGCATGTCCATAAAGTAAATGTGCGCTCAATCAAAACTCACAAGATGTACAGAGTGCGTAAGGCATCATCAACAAGTAGGGGACACGAGGGGGGCACGGGTGGGATTGCTTGAGGGATGAGAAACCGGCGCACAATGTGTCCCGAGTGATCACTACCTCCCCGCACCGTGTCTTTTGCCATCTTCCCGAAGTCCGGGATCTCATAGAAACTGGTACATGGGCGTACGTACGGTCCGTGCACAACAATTTGTCCAATTACGTTTTGTGCGATAACTTCTTTTCGAGAAAGAATGGGAACGTGAAACAACGATAGTCGTGCCCGCCTCGTCGAGATACGTCGATAGCTGCAGAGTTTTTTTAATTTCGGCGATATGCAACATTTTTGGCGAAAATCATCTACGGAGCCCCCTAAACACGACATACCTCCCCCAAATTCATCCACGGAGCCCATAACCTTCCCCCCGGGACGCCCACCACCCTTCTCGGTGCCTGCTTTTGTACACTACGGACACCACATGATTGGATTTGTACAGATAGCACGAAGAAAAGTTGGTCGACGACACCCATAGGGAAGAAATACCATCACTTCTATATAACTTTGACGAATCTCTGCACACACAAACGAAAATATATATAAAGCAGTATTGTTTACTGCTGTATATCGCTAATACTCCGTATACAAGATCGGCATGAAGAAAGGGAAACACGCACCAAGCACACAACACAACAAACCTCGGCCAAGCTGTTAAGCAAAATTTTGTGCAGCACTAAAAGACACACATCACTACGCATCGTTCTCGGCCTCTTTTTCCTCTCCCTCCTGCTCCATGGCCCGCTTCTTCTCCTTTTCCTGCTTCCACTTCT